CTCACTAGGAAGTAACTCCACACCTATGTCGTATCCAGTGAACGCTGTTTCCATGACTTCGTCAATGGCGAAGTTAGAGAGGAAGGATGACAGCGGACAACCTTGTCTCACACCGCTGGTCGCCCCGAATTGAGTCGGGATCTTTGTTTTATTTGTTTTTAACTTGAGCACTGCACATTACACTTCTTTGTGGCTTGGGAAACTGGCGGCCGGTGGCCGAGTGGTCTGAACGCCTGGCTTGTACCCGTAAGGCCACCGGTTCGAATCCGCATAAGCACGGGCATCCACGCGGTATACTCAGCCCAAGCACAACTGGTGGTGGTCGCGCTGCAGCGAAGCGCCGTTACAGCGTGCGGTGGACGAATTATTTTTCTCCCATGAACTATTTATTTTGGCTCCATCTTTTAACTGTAAATACTGTTTGCTGGGGACTCGATAGAAGTTTTACCAGAGGCTTTTGTCTTCTGATTTGGAACTGGTTAGACCGCGACGCGAGTAGCTGTGCCGGTTATCCGTGCTGTCAGCGGAAACGATGGCTTAGGCCTGGAGGTGTTTGCTAGTATCAGTTCGAATCCGTTTCATTCGGTGATGTTGTCGGTAAAATTGCGATGCTGTGACAGGCTTCAACCCTCATGAAGTCTGTGACCATCACATGTAACGTTATGGTAGCGTGGCCCTAGTTTCGTTACCATCCCTTTGTGTTGTATGCATCATCATCATCATCAACAGCAGTACATCAGCCATTTGAACTGATGCTTCGCTGCCACACAACCATGAGGACCTATGAAATAAAGAATAAGAGGGAGAGAAGGGGGACTTACCTGAAAACCTTAATGCCCTAAGCAAACATTCAGGGTCAAGGCGCCTACACCTTGTGTTAACAACATACCGTCACAAACAGCTGGCTATCGTGCAAAGATAAGGCGGCATCGGCGAGACAGCTTCCTTGCGGCTTTCACTGCCACGCGTCATAATCAGCCATTACCCCGCAGATAACTCAGCACCAAACACACTTTAAACAGACAATCCGATTAGGAGACGGCAGCAGACGCGCCACTGGTGTCGGTTGCGAGCCATGTCCTGTAAAGTCTCGAGCCAAGCACAAGGTGAGTCACGTGGACTCCAACCCGGAAGGCGAGAGGGACCAACGGCACCCAGTTCGGTCGTCAGTGACTTCATTTCCCGCTGCCAAGTCAACTTCTGTCCACCTCGAGCCTTGCGCCATCCGACACCTGGTAGACTGAACAAGGCCCTCCTAGGTAAGCGGTGACCAGGCATGCGTAGCACGTGCCCGAGCCAACGTAACTTATTCAGTGCTATCTGTTGTTCTAGGGAGCTAGCATGATCACCACCCCCTAGTACTCGCCTACGCACATCATCGTTGCGGACACGCTGGTGCCATCCGACACCAGCAATGCTTCGCAAACAACGATGATCAAAGACTTGAAGGCGCCTCAGATCTTCAGACCGAAGGGGCCAAGTTTCACTACCATAGAGTAGAACGGCCCTCACTGTGGCCTTGTATACACGGCCTTTCAGACGGAGGGAAACTCCCTCCTGTCGCCAAAGATGCCGCAGGTTCAAATAGGTAGCTCTGGCCTTTGCAATGCGTGAGCTAACGTCAGTTTCAATGCGCCCATCATTGCTGATGCAGCTGCCAAGATAAGTGAATTGATCAACCACATCGAGTTCCTCGTTAGCAAGCGTCAAGGGGTCATCGAGTGGCTGGTGGTCCTGCAGCAACACTTTGCACTTTGAAGGTGCGAAGTGCATACCAAATAATGGGACCACTCTGGATAGGCTATTCAGGGTTGATTGTGCCGCCTCAACATTGTCGAAAAGCAAGACGATATCGTCCGCATAATCTAGATCAACTAACCGTTCACCAGGCAGCACTTCAACACCTACATCGTGAGATTCCGTCAGGGAACACTCCATGATAGAATCCACGACAAAATTGAACAAAAATGGGGAAATCGGGCAACCCTGTCGAACGCCACTTGTAGTCGAAAAGCTATCCGATAGGGCACCATAGACCCTGACGCGGCCTCTAGTGTTCGAGTATAGAGCACGAAGGATGTTCACATATTTCGTGGGAACACCTTTCCGCGCAAGTATTTCGAACAGAATCGATCGATCAACTGAATCGAACGCACTCTTGAAATCGAGGAACACAGCTATTGTCGGTCTGCGGTAGGCGTGGCGCTGCTCTAGCACCTGCCGCAAAGTAAATATATGGTCTATACAGCCACGTCCTGGGCGAAAACCGGCCTGCTCTTCTCTAATCCGAGATTCCCGTTCTGCAGTGAGGCGAGGAACGATAATCGAGGCCAGTAACTTTGTCACAACTGGCGTTAGGCTAATACCCCTGTGGTTCGCACAGTCTGTGTGACTGCCCTTCTTGTATATTGCCACTATAATCGATTCGCTCCAATTAGCCGGCACACTCTTCGTTCCAGATACGTTCGAATAGGGAGGTCAGTGCTTTGCAGAGGACCTCACCACCATCCTTAAATAGTGCAGGTGGTAGGGAATCCGGGCCAGCGGCACGAAAACGATTAAGGTCTGTGATCGCGTTTCGGACTTCGGCCTCCGACGGAGGCTCTAAACTAACCGTCCATGGCTCGTCCTGCATCACCTGAGTAGGAAGAGGTCCGGGAGCAGGGGGCCAGCTGAACTGATGTTCAAAGTGCTCAGCCCAACGAGCCATACGGCGCTGCTTATTGTGTTTCAGCGCATATATCTGTTTTAGCGTACAGCTTCACCATTATTGGACACATGGTGGGAGCCAGTGTTTCCTATCAGGCGGTCTGACATGGATTCGAACCTGTAAATCCCGGTGTGTAAAATTGTCCATTTGAAGCGTAACTCATTTGATGACCTAACCATCCCTCATTGGCTATACTATATGGGTGTTAACATGAATTATACTGATAAGATGCCATCACCGAAATGCGGTTGGTCCTATTACCGTTCTCCATCTCACCATAAGAATATGGAAAATCCAATAACATTATGGAACATAAGGAAAGAAAAAGAACCCAAACGTAAAAATTCTAAGTAGACATGTAACCTAACACAGGAGCATCCTTGGTAACCGCACCACGTCTTCCCAATTCATGCGACCAGAGTAACCTATTCTGTGCACCCCCACATAGCGAGACTGCATGCGTTAACTTAAGTCTATCGGCCCGCTGTTCAACTACATTTATGTTGCATCATCGGTTAACCACCACTTTGAAGCTTTGCCCAATGAGGCATAGTACTGGCGGTTGACGGAATTTCTATACACTGATCTAACCAGCATGTGGAGGATTGCAGTTCAAATTACGCTTCAAGATGGTAACAAATGAGTTTCTACCGGGACTTAACGCAAGGACTTCAGTGTTTCTACCAGTTGTCGATCACTTTTCACACACATCCGCTGCCAAGAGTCATCAATATTATAATTTCCTTAACACATAAGACGCATTTCCGACACATCTGGTAAGCCTGAGCACACTACAACTTTTCACATTGCTTCCTATCTGTAGTTTACTGCTTTATTGTCACCGAAGATGACAGGCCTTTCAGTACAGCATGGATGTTACCGATCCTCCCAGAAATTTTGGCAATTGAGCTACCAGCGTTGATGCAACTCTCTAGTTTGGTAGACCGATTGATCAGTTTTAGTGGATTTTCATTTATACTGAGAACTGCTGGTGTACCATTGCTTTGAAAGCATGAATCTACAACGCCCTGCGTCGATCTGTCCAACAAATCTTATGTAGCAGCCACATTCGCTTATGCTTCCAATCTACCCCACGGCTCTGGATCGACGCCGTTTCCCAATACTACGAGTTCATTACCCGTCGGAATCATTTAACATACTGCAGACAAGCCAATAAAAGCTTCCTAACTACTATCGCAATTTGGGACTCACTATGTAGACAGCTAGTGGCCTCCCTCACGACATGTGGTCAGACTTTATCCCCAGGCTGCCACTCTGAGGAACAGCGTTTGTTCGAGCATTTCCGCTCCATATTTTCGTTTCAGTATTTCGTCGTTCGGCATGTGTGCTCGAGTCCGGCCCTGGAATGTGGCTGCATCTTTCCTTGGAGGTATGCACTGGATCGTCTTCGCCCACCTAAGATCCAACCTTATGCTTGACCACAACCGACACAAGAGCCCCAAATCACTTTCCAACTATGCTCATTTAAAGTCACTTTTTGGTGCGTTGGCTTTTAGGAGCGATAATGATCAGTTTTCGATGGGAACAGATTGGCGTCTACTCGAGATGTTCAAGGTCATCCATATCTTCACCTGAACTACTTGTCTGTGATTGTAACTGAGTCGGCTCATCTCTTCCTTTCCTTCCATCTCACTTGTTCGCGGCTTTGCGTACCAAAGGTCTCATTGTTTTCAAAACTCATCTCTTTATACACTAAAATTACAATCACTAACCATTTAGATTGATTGTTCGGTACCTCTACCACTTCTCACCAACTGCTTTTGCATAATGTGCCTGATGCGGCTTTTATATTGATTTGAACTGCACTGGATTGGTTGGGTCCCCTTAGTCGTCAAGACCTTTATACACTCTGAAGGAGCAAGTCAGGATGTCATAGCAGGATTCTACGGGTTCTCGTCGATCGCTACTAACTGGATGATGGCTCAAGTGCTTTTAACTGCGAAACGAATAGATATGTGAACTATGTCGCAACATTGGCGGAAATTCCAGTTTGTGCTTTGAACTTTGAGTTCTATTGCAACCCAATATCCAAGGCGGTTAACTTAGGTGAATTCACGCTCGTTTCTCGTTTTGGTCATCTGGCAACACCCACACTAACAGTAGGGTCCCGGCCGCGTACGACACTTTCTATTTGCGAGAAATCATTCTCTTTTGATACAAATTCTGTGGGTCACATTTTTCTGTTAAACATTTCGATACACAAGGAGGTTGATAGTAACTCAATTTTTCATCGCTACTTACTCTGCTTATCGTCTCGTGTCTCAAACAGCTGCTCTCGTCCAAAGCGCCCACGTATATCCTGTATCAGTAACCCCAATGATCAGTATGACGCCGAAGACACATCTGAGCGGGCCAAATTCTGTGGCATGGAGCGTGGTACGTTGAACACTCTCCTTCATGTATCAGATGTGTTGAATACTCTTCCCATGCTTAGTCAGTGTGTTTCGAAGGGACCGGGTTTTAGTACGCGTTGTTTTTACACCACACTTTATTATTTTACAATGGAATATACTTCAATTTTAGACAATTCCAGTTGTCTGTTCTCGAAGTATTCGCCTTTTAAATCGGATTCTGTTGATTTTGGCCTTTTTTACTTACATACTGAATATTGTGTGTATCGTGGGAACACGTAGGAATTTAGTTCTAGCACTAGGCTCGCAAATGTGTGATATTATAGTAAGTGTGCAGTCGTTCTCTGAATCGAAGTGGCGAAATATGAGTACAATAAAGTTTTGAACTGCTGTACACATTTGGCAAACTGTGGCATTTGAAGCATAGGGAACTCCGGCACAACGATCCTGTGCCCCGTGTCTGTGTGTGCTGCATTGCACTGGCCTCAGCATTGGGGGATCGCCGAGATGCGGTAGGTCACTATGAAGTCTACTGGCAGCGAACGACAGAACCCTAGTTTCTCGCGCCGATCTTCCTACGGCATGCACCGTAAACTTGGCTAATCCGCGTAGCGACTTGTTGGCTCCGTTCGATCTACTGTTTTTCGTTTGGGGTGATTAGACAGGGGGCGTGCTGGAAGCTGTGTACCCTCCCTAGCTTCCATCTTCTAGCGCTGATGTTACTTTATCCATGTTGTTGTGAATCACTTTTCATGCTGTATTTTGCATTCTCACATCCGCAATCAAATAACCGAATCCACACCTTCGTTCTTTCGTCATGTTAGGATCATTTTCTTCCGATACTCCACCGGATAGTGTTGGTTTTGATTCGTGTGAAGATGAATGTACCGTTCCAAACGATCTACTTGGATGCCCTCTTTCCTCTAGTGGTTGCAACACAAACTCATTGCTAAACCGAACTCTTGGTCTGATGGTCCATGTGAGTCTACCTCCTGATCTCTTTAACTGCCTTTCGGTTGCTTTTACTCAAGTCACCTCAGTTGAGCAATCATACTTTGTATGCCCAAGCTTACCACCTGGCTTGCTTTACGTACCTTGACTGTAAGCTTATCTCGTTGAATGTAGAGCACGATCGCCGTGGGTTGTCACTGGTTTATTGCTGCCCGCGGCAAGCCAGGTATCCTCTGTTCAAAAGTGCTAACCCACCAAAAATCGCCTGCAGTTGGTCGTGGTTCTTTTAATTTTCCACGTTTGTGTGCGACCTATTTTGACTACGTCCACTCAAGACTCTGCGGTCAAATTCCGGAGCTAATTGGATCTGTTCCACATTCATGCGAGTTGATGTTCCAAGTCAGAAAGTGCGGATGCGTTCCGAAAACGAACCTTATTTATTCAGTTAATTTTCGGCTTGAACTCTTGCGTCAACTACTTAATGTGTGTGCCCCAGAACGGAGCCCATCATTCGTAGGGAACAGCTATACAGTGTCATTTGTGCACACGACCCTATCCGTATTTTTCTCCTTCTTTTAACCTCTCCTCTTGGTACACAGCATGGGGGTTTCTTCCGAACTTCTGCAGTAAGCTAGATCTTCTGACACTCCAATTATGCCACCATGCCAATTATGAACCCGTACAGTGTTCTACTAAATCTCGACTTAGTTCAATTTAATTTCTCAACCATCGGCAAAACGACAGTCACACTCAATCTGACCGATCAGATTCCAGTTGGTGCCTAATGCGTTCGTCGGTTTAATGTCGGGTGCGCCGACAGCTTTCCACAAAGTTTCCATAATTACTGTGATGTCGGAAGCCGTGTGAATTTGTAAACTCGCCAAACTACCGTTCAGGCCCGTATATGATGCCTGAAAACAGTCACCGAAAGTTTGAAAGAAGGGTAAACACCAACTCTACCGGCGATGTTAAAGATAGAAGAGCGTTTGTCACTATCAGCATCAATGGCCGATTGGCCCCTTTTCAGATTGACACGGCTTCCGACATCATAGTAATTACAGAAAACTTGTGGAAATCTGTTGGTGCACTCCTCGTTAAACCGACTGAACAACAAGCGACCAGCGCGTTAGGCATCAAGTTGAATCTGATCGGTCAGATTGAGTGTGATTTCCACTGTGCCGGATTTATTACTTGGCGAACCATTTTCGTCGCCAGTCACAAGAACATGAACCTACTTGGGTTAGACTGAATCAAACGCTTCCATCTCCTGAATGTTTCCATCAATCAGATCAGTGCAGGTGTTCCGCTACACAAGTCGGTGGTCCCGAAGATATTGACTATCGAACACATTCGAGAGATATGCAGCCGTTTTCCGTAAAGGACTCGTTAAATGCCGAATGATGCAAGACTCATTACTTTAAAACCCGATATTATTCCGGTTTTCCATGCACGACGGCCAGTACCTCACACGGTATTTCCAATTATTAATCAGGATCTAGATTGCTTTGAGAAAACTGGGGTTAATCATGAGCGGCTCCCGTCGTGGTAGTCCCATTCGAATATGCACCGACTTATCGGTAGATCTGATTGATGCGCTCAACACATAACTATCCTCTATCGATTCCAGATCATTTATTTTCGAAACTAAATGTGGGTCGGTGTTTTGCAAAGCTGAACCTATCAGATGCATACCTGCAATTAGAAGTTGATGAAGCCCCAGAAGAATTACTGGCAAAAAATACGCACCCGGGGGTTGTATCAGTAGCATCGACGTCCATTCGGTGTCAGGTCCGCACCAGCAATATTTCAATAAATCATGCATACTATGCTGACAAGCTTAGACCGTCCTGCTTGCCCAGTGTTCAATGCAGTTTTATGCCGGTCCGGTTTGCGCAACAGCTGCACGTCACCCTTGCAATCAGCGGAAACCAAAACCGTTCCCTATACTGAAGTGCGGTGGGTCCATTCACTATGATAAAAATAAACAATTCAAGAGGTATGAACAACAACTAAAATTGCACCGATTTGATAACGTCCCTCTCCGATAAATTGCCTAACAACTTACGTGTCCAGTCCCGACATTATCATCCAGGAAGATGACACATCAACCAAACTCAGTGTTTCCATGCTTGATCCAGGCATTAGTGGGGTTGCGGAGTTTACGGACTCAATCTATTTCCAACGCTGATGTTCCCTGAGGCAGGATTTGCGAAAATGATCTAATACTGGTCCCATTGAACAGTCTCCAGCAAAATTACTTGGTAGTGTCCGAGCGTCCAGTGTATTCCTATCTTATCACTGTAGCTTCATTTACTGAAGTCTTCCTGAACGGTTTCTGTTGGGGAACATCAGTCCTCATTTGTGAGACCAATGGTCTTGATATTGTGCTCGTTACTTCTCAGGTGGGTCGCTTGTCGAACATCATCTGGGAGGTTACTTAGGGTCAGATTTCGTGTTCTGCTAACGACGATTGATTTCCCCAATCATTAATTATTCGTCATCTTTATGTCAGTGACATTTTCCAGCACACGCGCCGACATTCAGCTACCTAGTGTCCCCTGAACGCCTTGGACTGCCTTCGGTTCACATTGACCACACTGTCATCAGCTAAGTATAACTCACGTCTGCTGGAGCTACTTAATCTGTTTGCAATACTTATCTGACTTTGAACTATGACTTGTGCACGCCTACATGATTCCTGCCATGATTCCGATGGCACAATATCTGTACCACAGATTGTGTATAATATATACATGAAACTCACTCTTCCAGTCTCACCGAACTTCTAGCAGTGCAATAGTTGAAGTGTTTCTCACCTCTGTAACCTGTATCGTGAGTGATTGGGATTACTCAATCTCCAGACAGCTCTGCGTCAAGCCGTCAACAGTCACCGAGAAACGAGAACAATGGACCAAATGCCGATCAGAGTCCCCTTAACTACCCTATAGGAACTATCAGGAGTCTCTTATTTGTCTAGCTTATGGCGCCCCAGTCGCAGTTCTACTTCTATTTGCTATCTTCATTTGAGTGAATTAGGGATTCTTAGTGTCTGCAATGCTCAGCAACGACATTTAATAAAAAGGCCCGGTGTAGATTAGAAACACTCCCGGATATCGACTGTTATTAAATGTAGCCAATTACTACTCCATCTCATCCGAATTGCGAATCCATAAAATACTCTTGCGGACCAAACTATATCTAAGAAAAGCGTACATTTGCTCTACTTCCAGACCATCCGGTTTGGACGCTAAACAAAACATTTTGGCGAACTTCTCGTCCGGCCTGTTTCGATGCCGTTTTTATCAACAACCTCAATCCACATAAGTCGCTGTCTCATCCCCTACCCCTGTGGAGATATGACATGAACTGGTATTATCGAAACAAGACCAGTCATCTGTACTCGATACCCTACCTCCGTCGTCACTGAGCGACGGTGATGACTCCAATTGGTGACCCGGTCACTATTCACCTGATAAGGAATCCTCACTCCAGAGTTTGTCCACTGTTTTTTAATGTCTGGTCACTGACTACTTTATGAAAAACACTAGGTTCCTTGCAACTGTCTCCAACTTTCTATTATGCACTATCCTCACTGACCTGTATATTTGCTTGCATCCTTTCATGGGTCGCATTGCTCATATGCTTACGCTTCACCAAGCGCCGGAGTCCCACCACACATGTATCATATCAATATCAAATATAGTGCAGTCTCGAATTCATTACTGCTCTTCACTCTCTTCTCGGTTCCTAACATTCTCATCCTTTATACCATTTTCAATCTCTTTTACCACTCATCTATTCATTCACATTTCTTTTTACTTCGGGAACTGTCCCCGTTTCGCTTCAGTGTACAAGTCAGGGTTGGCCAATCGGACTGAACCACCACGAAAACTGATAACCTTTTCCTGTTACGTTTCTTGAGTTGATGACTACTATGAGTTCGTTTGATCACACCTGTTTTCATCCCCAACACCAGCAAGTCGAACTGATGCTTCGTTTTCGTACATTCAGGGTACGTGTTGTCAGCAGCGTATGGCCGCAAACGGCTGAATATCGTGCATAGATAAGGTGGCATCGACGAGACACCTTCCTTGTGGTTTTCACTGCCACACGCCACAATCAACCTTTACCCCGTAGCTAACTCAGCACCGGACACACTTTAAGCAGACAGTCTTATTTGGAGATGTCAGCAGTCGCACCGCTGGCACCGACTGCGAGCCACGTCCCGTAACATCTGCAGCCAAACACAATCTCGTGTGGACCCCAATGTGGAAGTCGAGACTGATCGATGGCACCCGGTTTTGTCGTCATTGGTCTTATTTCTTGCGGCCATATCAACTTTTGCCCCCGGCCAAAGAGGTCCTTACTTTCTTGTAATCGCTATGTGAGAATAACTACAATAATCTAGCCCCTAGTGACATTTGATTATAAATGAGTTTATGCGATACTTGCCTTGTCCCGTCGACTTTGCACCCGCCTCATTATTATGGTTAACAGAAACGAGTGCTCACAACTATCACAAGCAGGTTACTCTCTTAGTAATCTTTTAAGCACACTTACATGGCTCGAAAAATACCATTTACCTTCTCGCAGCCTTTGCATATGCAATCACTGTCTTCTGTGCTACTTGGATGTACCGTGTTGTGGCGTATATCGTTCCCTTGACAAGTCCCTAATCCAACAGTTTATTTGGACAAATACTTCGACCGCCAGGCGCCCAGCGCGATTATTTTTTGATGTCTCACCAAAAACACTTGATCGACATTTTTATTTATTCATTTTGGCTGCTCACTCTTTTGTTACAGAAAGGAGTGAGTCTGGCTAGCAGCACTGGTTCGGGACACTTGGGACCTGCTGAGTTGGCCTTGATGCTCCCTACCCCACCGTCACACGATGCACCCCAGCCCAGCCCAGGCGATGTAATTGCAGTGGGGGCTAGTACTACGGGTAACACGCGCACGAATTTGCCTGGTTTTGCCACAGATGTTGCTGACTCTCCGACTCCTCCTGGTATTTTCCTTACCCACAATTTGCTCGATTCATGCAACACATTTGACCAAAGTGTCGCCATGACTCTACAACAACCTCTCAGCCCACCGCAAACGCAGCTTTTGAACCTCGCCAAACAGTCCTGCGTGCAGAACTATAATTTCACCACGTTGGATCCTATCAAAGTGAGTCTTTCGTTGTTCCTCCTGTGGCTCCTTTAGAGAGAGTTATCTTATCACGTGTTCAGTATACTAACGTAGTCGAACTAAGTATCACTCCTACCCCGGGCTAGAAGTCAGACTGACTCAGTATTACAATCCTTTTTCGGAGTGGGGGAGAGGTCAATGGCTCTCTCCCAAACCTAGCCATGGGAGCCAAGTTTACGGATTATAAGCCCACAGCTCAATTGGCGCACCCCATCAGTACCACGCAGTTTCTTACGGTGGGAAAGCACCTCCAGGTGTTCTAAGGTTTGCTCTCCCCCGCCTCAGGCCAGACAACCCCTGCTCAGCTTGGCGCAAACCGCTATCCCCACTTGCTGTTGGCCGTGGTCGCAGGTGCTTAACATGTTACGGTCTATAAATACCTGCGAACTGCCCTAAATCTTACGGCTGATGGTATCGATAAATGCAGCTCGTCTCTCAATGGTCTCATTTCACATTGGTTACTTTAACATCCGCGCTCTGGTCACGTCGACCAACAGGCAGCACTATCACTCTTCCCCCTGTTCGTATTAATGTGCACTATCTCGGAAACACGAATAAAAGATAACAGCATCCTGACGAGTGTTCGACTTCCTGGTTCCAAGTCTGCCGACAGTGACTCTTCGCGACTCTGGCGATACTGAGATATATTTACTATACATTTTATTATTATCCTTATTAATTTATTTTATTACGATATGTTTGTTTTGTCGGTGTTGCTTACAGCAAACACGTTGAATACTATCTACTCGACTTGATACCCGTGAACAACCGCATGTGTGCGGTTCGACTTCTAATCCCTACAGGAGTTAGTAATCTTTTTCATCGCTTCCGCTTGTGCCCTGACTGACTGTAGTTCAGAGGGTGTCAAGGGTGTATTTTATCGTAAGTGCTCTTCTCTTCTCCACATGGCGAAAAACACTGATATCGTGATTGTTGCTCGTGACATGAACGCCCAAGTGGGTCGTCTCTTGGATTTTGAACACCACATGGAGGCCGTTTCGAACTTGGTACACGCCGAACCGAATGGTGATAGATTCCTGCAACTACATGCCGGCCACAATCTATATTAGCAGCGCTGCTTTTCGATACAAACGTTCGCAACGCGTCAGCTGGAGCCAACCGAATTCCTCTATGACCTGGACCCAAATTGGCCATCTTTCCAACAGCTACAGCTAGCGCACATCGGTTCAAGAATCGGTCACTTTGGTGTGTGTGTGTCTGGATTACAAGCATGCTCCAGTGCACGCACACGTGTCGCTCGCTTTTCCCTCTTCAAAGTAACACCTGACCTTAAAGCTTTTTACTTATACTTTAAACTCCCAGTCTACAATTCAGTGATACAACGAAATGGTCCACCAGTTGTTAGTGGTAAATGAGATTGCTGAGCCGAACAATGGAGTCATCTGAAGTGCGCCACGAGGAATGCTTTTGTTACTCGCTATATACGCAATTCGAGACGTCCGAACTGTGAATGGTTGTCTGAGATATCGATCAGTTTGATCAAAATGCGGAAACAGGTTCCGTTGTGCACTGCGTTTCATCTTGTCCGCAACGTCCTGAAACGAGCACTGAGTCTTCGAATCGGCCGGGGACGCTGGTGGGTAACATTGGGCTGTGAGTTGAACATGGACAGTGCTGTTCCAGCTCATGCGGAACATGAGTTAAAGAAAACCCTCATTCTGTGATATCTGCGAAAGATGCACGGTTGATCCATTCGCAGTCACGTCGATTAGCTCGTTGGGTGGAGCATTTTAAAAGACAGCTTTGCAGGCTTTTTGTGACAGCCACTTGCCGAATCACCTGAGCTGACCTGGGAAGCTGATGTCACACCTCCCAGCCTGGAAGAGATTCGACATTCGCTTACCGCGTTGAAGTGAACGGAGGCTCCTTAACTCGACGATCTTCCTCCGTCTGCTGAAAGATGGAGGTGACTTTTTGGCTTAACTTGCCGTTTTATTCAGCACTCCATTGCGACGAGGCTGGAGCTCTATGTGGTGCGATGGTTTGCATGTCTCAACGATCCATTTAACTATGCTGCGTGGTGCTTTTTGCAACTTCAGAGTCACTCATACCAGATTGGACAAGGCTTTGTGGTCAGATAGCCTCAGTCTCCTGGCCCTCCAAGTTGCTTGGTTGGAGAGGAGGTGGCTTCTTACTGAATACTGTATGATGAGAGCAAGTAAAAATTTGGATCTGTACTGTTCTGTCGGGGCATGATCACAACTGTTGTCTAAAATCGTGTCACGTCTTAATACTATGGTCGCTCTTCAGTTTCGTATATACCATTTTAAAACGTTTGACTCACAGTATCACTTAGCTCGATCTCGAGCACGGGCTTGCAGTCATAGAACAAGCAAAAAGTTTGATCACCTGTACAGTCAGGAATTTGTTACATCTGCTCACGGGTTCAAGTCGTCTCAATACAAGCGTTGCTCGATGGTCTGAGTGCACACATCGCCATACGCATTGCGTCCTAAGCATGTAAATGATGATTTCAGAGCTCTTTTCACACATTGCCAGCTCTTCCAATCACCGATAGATCTCTGAAAATCGTTGATCGGTTCATTTTGCAAGTGGCTGTTTTGTTACTGGGCCGTTTAAGCCACCAGAGCTACAGTTACCTATAAAGGCGGTGAGTAACCTCGCCCAGAAGTGATCGGGTTCACAACACAGTCTTGCAGCAATCGTTATTGCCTGAGTCGCGGACATGATCACGGCTCTCAGCGTCCGCACTTCTCTAACCGTGTATGCTTACGATATGTCCATCTTCCATGACACGCGTTCCAAAGAAGCATTACTGCTGCTCACAAATTTGTGAGGGTCGGGAGAATCTGGCGTTACACTGGGTCGATCTCTGAGCTTGATCTGCCTATGTTTAATGAGAATTCACGTGCCCATACAAAGTCATTCACCTATACACCACGTAAATTCACTGGTATATGATAACTCACCTGTTCGCAGTAACACTTGTCCTCGTTTACTATTCCTGCTTTACTTTATTGGGTGATTTGTGATACAAATAAGAATGACTCGGCACAAGCGCTCCCACTGAAAATCAGCGTTCTCCTTCTGGTTCAGGGTTCAGTCGTGAAGTTCACTTTCGTCTCACGGATGATGTCATTCCGCTACACGATGGCTTTCATCGTCGCCCCTTTTGTGGCTTGGATTCACTGGGCTGTAATCGTGCCAAATTTCGTTCATCTGCTTTGCTCGTAGGTAATCTCACGAAACAATGATTTAGTCCAACCGAACAAGGAAGGATAATACTTGACCATCTCCACCATGGGGATACTGCGTAGTTTTCAGAGCAATCAAACTCATACTGCGAACTGCAGTAAGTTTCGCATGCTCGTGTTTGGTCTTCCTGGTTAAGACCATCGCGGTCGATAGTGAATTTGAACCGTCCGATATGTTACGGTCAGAAAGTCACTTACGCTGTTAACATCGGTTCATCGCCCCATACTGGTTGTCTTCTTGTTGTCAGATTTCGACCTTACTTAACCCTTTTTTGCCTTTTCTTGATCGCCACTCATTTCATGATCATTGCTTTGAGGGTCAGGATAGTGGGTTTCATCGAGTGTCGTTGCTCGAGTTATGGTTGTTCAGCCAAACCTAGTTTATCCCACTGGTGAACACATGCAAAGCTATCGGCCTGATGTACGGCACAGTATTTCAGGCAGTGCCGTTGTATCAATAACTGTTACTGCTTCCGCTTGCTGATGCAACCAAGATCCATTCCATTAGTGTTTCGTGGCAGGTTTTCTGGAATTGAAATGCGCCAGGTAATATCCCTGTTGTATTGCTTGAATTATTTCCACTGACCTGTTATCCACTTGCTTCAGCGCGTTCTGTTTACCTGGTTACACGAATCCACACACGTTTGACAAGTTAGCAGCAGAATCGAGGGAAGTGGCTAAAGAACCAACCCGTTCCCGTGGCTGCACTTCAGGGATTACACCTGTCACCTACCACGTCATTCCGTTACTCTCTTGTGCCCTCCCTACACCATGCGTCACTCACTTTGCCTTTTTGCATCTTGACCATTTGCTACCGTAGCGACGCGAGTCCTGCTCACCTAGCTCCCTATATTTTTTGCGTTTGATCATCGTTGTCACTAGGTATATGTGTTTCTCCGTATTACTTTTTTTCGTTCCATTTGGGGCACCATTCGGAAGTCACGGTGTCTTGGACAGCTTATTGTGAAAAATATCGAACACTGTAGTGTGTGATCTTTCTTGCGCGTTACCTATCCTACATATCTTTTTGACATGTCTCGACGTAGTTCCTACTCTACTGTTTTCGGCTGATCATGTTCCTATCAACATCTTATTTTTCAGGACTGGTCGTTTGTACGTCCTTGCGCTGCTTACTTCGGGATCACTGGTAGCTATCAGTTTTGCCGGAACGATTCTAGCTTGTTTCCAAAGAGTATACCACATGTTCAACTGGCTTACGATCACCGAGCTCTTCGCAACTACAGATCATCGATCTGCGATCCATCGTTGTGTGCGGATCACATGGGCAGTCCATCTGTCGGCCTTGTCCGATCTACGTCCAGTCCCCCACGACAGATCAAATGTGCGCTCACCTCCCCCAATGGGCTCAGTGTTCATCAGTTTGAGACAAGCTCGGTCGAGTTAAAACCCAGTACCCTAGACTCGGTCGTTTCAACTTCATCTACTGGCCTACTCATTCCATCGGCATTTGACACGGAGCCTGCAACTGCTACGTCCACTACATACTTCAATCACGAAGGCAGCCAGTCACACTTACCGGAATCAGATGCGATTTTGGTGAACATCATGCTATCTGATTCAATGCTTAATCTTTTCCGCGATCACAACTTTGACTCGTGCAACATTTGTGAGTGTTCATCTTCTGTGATGGGCTCTGAGATCGATCTCTACCTTGTCAACTGTGCACCGGCTGCTGGCAGTGGTAAAACACAACGCCCGTCATTAGGCAGTGTTGGCAGTGGCAGTGCTGGGGGATTCGGTCCACACGATCTCGTCAATGGTTCTGCCTTTGGCTGTGCAAACGAATGCAAATGTGGTTTCAGTGCTGTTATGAACCAGAAGTATGTAGTGAATGGCAACCTGTTCTACGAGGATGAGGTAGAGGTGACCAGCCTTTTCCTTCCATCCGAACACATGCCCGATCGTCCGCGTGTTTACTCATCGCCTCCAGTCTATAACCAGAAGCTGGGGTGGTGGGCAGGTCCCTGTTCGCCGTCTCATGAACACCTCATGCTCCTTCTACGAATGATGCAGACCGTGTACGACGAACTTTGTGTCCGACAACTCATGGACACCCTTAGACGTCTTCGCTCACCTTCCTTGTTGGATTCTATCAAAGAGGATATGATTGAATATGATGGTATGTTCGTCTGTTCGTTTTGATGAACGAGATAACTTTTTGCTTACTAGAGCTAGTTCACCGTGAAGTGCAGCTTAATGGCTGTACATAAATAGTACACATCTTATTGCTTGTCTGGAGTCTCAGCTATGTGAGTAGGATGCGTCATGCAATCTCAATTCGATTCCTGATCTATTTCGCGTTGGATTTGTTCACTTTGATCCGTTGGACTACGTCTGAAGCAGATTAATGTTTGATGCATTTGTAAACACGTTTTCCAAAACTAGTATCTTGTCCGTCCTCACGCTACTGACTTTGGAATCATCGCGCCGCGGTTTCGTGCCCCTGTTTGGTGCGCGCGCGCACACACAAGTGCCAGACTAGTCACGGGAATGCAATGTTATAAATTTTTCTTCTCGACAATGCGAGGCACACCTTTACAGGCATGATCATGCTAAGCTAACATAGTGTGATCAAAAATGTACAAAACTACATGTTTGGCATGACAGTGAATGGGTGTATATACGTATGTAACTGTATGAATGTAGCTGTGTAGCTTTTGTTTGTGAATGTGCCGCAGAATTTTCGACTATTTGTAATCATCAGGAATGTGAGCATAAGCGATTGATGTCCGTGCGTTGGATAGCATTTTCCGGATATCCACGGGGCAGTGACTATAGTTTGTGACGAGTCACATCCGTCACGTCGCAGTATTAATAAGCAGACATTTGTGGCTTTTTATAGGGAGAAGCTTGTCTGGCGTAAACTCACCACATCCTAGAGCACTGCCGCCGAACTATTCGTTGGAACGGGTTAAACCCTAACCATCCAGCTGACACCACGAGGTTGTTCGGCTATCCAGCTTTTTTAAGTTGTCCTGCCCGCTTTGCGTTTGAATTGTTTCACGCAACCTGGATTTGATCGAAAAATACGTCATCATATTAAACGTTCGCTGAAGGTGAGAATCCCTTCAGTTATGGTACCCTACTGCAGCTCAGTCGGATGGTTGTAAGAACGGAAACAAACGTTGGTATACCTTGTTTATACCACGCATCAAGTATGAGATCAATCTTGTAGGGGGGGGGGCAAACAAACCATCAGCTCAAACACGATTATGGTCTTGACCATGCTAACAAGTGTCTCCAACCAACTGTTCGTTGTCTATGGGATTCCAACTCGGGAGCCGAGGCATCAGCCGAGTTCGAAGTGTGAGCCTTCATTCCTCTTGACCTCCACTTCTTCCGTCCAGATCTCAGTCGCTCAAACAACGCACAGAACACGTGACTTTTGATGCGTAAACTAATGGTGCTGAGCAGTTCACCTTTTCCTGCGTCAAAACACGGCCGTGAACGCACTCATTGCTTATGCTCTGTTCTCGTCGTATATGAGCTAGACTGCGAGGGCACCTGTAGTCGAGTGCCCTCAGTTTCTGAATTTCCATCGGTCTGATGGGTCCGGTTTCCCTACTATGCAGTAGGGCTGAACGAGCGGCGTCACTATGGATTCTGCGCTTCCGGTTATGCAGTGTATGACATCTTCTATTCCTTCCACAGGCGCTGATATGGCTGTTTCGGTAGCTGAATTTCCGAACGACTTTTATCTGCTCTTTGCCAAGAATCGACACAGGGGTTGGTTACTGTCTATCCCGAAAGAAAGTTTTGAATTTTGAGGCTGCGAAGCACAACCTAAAACGATTGACTGCTAGTGCCGATCTGTCTGATCTTGCTTGTCACTTACGTGATTTGTCACAGTTTAAACCTATCTCATAGGTTATCTGGAAGTAACTCCATACTTTCTAACTCATGTCCGGTGAACGCAGTTCCCATTTCGACGTCAATGGTGCAGTTAAAAAGGAAAGGTGACAGCGGGTATGCTTACCTCACACCATCAGAGATATTGAACAGCATGGACACCTTGTCATGCGCCTGCACCTCCAGAATTACACGCCTGCAGCGCTCTGATAATGTTTACATATTTCTCGAGTACGTTTCCTAAGCATGCAGTCCCAAAAGGCGCATCGAACCGCCGAACCGAAAGCGCCTTTAATGTCGAAGAACGAGATTGCGATGCGTCATCAAGAAGCCTTTCGTTTCTGTGTTAACTTGGGTGAGGTAAGATGTGGTCATTGTAGTTTCTATTTGGACGATACGTGGCCTGTTCTTCGCAAACTGGACCTTCGTTGTCGCCATTTATCCTGTGAATAACGATAGTGGTAAGCAACTTAGACTTGATGTAGATGAAACTGATACCCATATGATTGCCACATTCCGAACTTCACCCTCCCTTGAAAATTAGGGTTATATTAGGACTTCCTCAGTCGGTTGGAGCAGTTTCCTGTCCCAAGTTTAACTAGTAAATAGTGCACATCGTCTACAAGAGCTGTTCTCCCTACTTCAAAAAAGGGAGGAGGAAGTCTCTGGTTTTGCGACCATATTCATCATCAGCAGTTCAACCTCAGATTCGACTTATGCACTCGAGGGCGGATCTACAGAGAAGGTTTACGGAGCAAAGCGATTAATGCCCAGTAAGGAAAATGATAACTTTTCACATTGTTGTACCCAACGCTCCAAGTGGTTTGACAGGTTGTAGATAGTTCCGCTAACATCAGGACCTCCGGTGGGCGTGAGACGGAACAACTTGCGATGTTCTCTAAAGGTAGTAGGCGTCTCTATACATGGTACATAGTCTATTCAGGATACCACCAAATCTTCCTTTGAGATATTTGCTTATCTCGTTGTATTCATTCCCGGCTGGAATGTGCTGATGAGTAACGTGAAATTCCAAAAACTGGGGGCCTAGTATCCAGGCGGGCAATCGGGTTTACCACACGAAGATATATCTGCTGTCAGGGAACTTCAACCGTACTCATTAGGCGCCTACACAGGTCGGATGCCAGCGCAATTTTATGCGTATTCATTACGTCTGCCTTCGATAATTGTGTCTGAACCCACAACATCGTCGCGAGCGTCCTCCGATGCGCATCCACAGCTTTCACACGCATGGTCAGAATCCACACTTTTCCTCCGAATCGAGCAGAAAGCTTGAAAGCGACCTCACAGGCGGTGCCTAATCGCAATGTTTTGCGATTTATGTCCGTGGCTACTCCGAGACTCGGTATGCCATCGCAATGAGGTTGGACCTTACCGTGGTGCGATGGTTTGTGTACCTCAGCGATCCATTGAACTATGCTGGGTGGTGCTTTTTTGCACCTTCAGAGCCACTCATACCAGCTTGGTCAATGGTTAGAGGCCAGACAAACTTAGCCCCCTGGTCCTGCAGGTTGGGGGTTGGAATGAGGTGGCTCCTTATTCCTTAAAACGGACTCCTTGCAGCCCAGTGCCAAACCCGCTGCCTTGCGGTCAGGTTTCTGAACCAAAGGCTTTGGTTGAGAACTCGAATCGTTTTCCTGTCTAGGCCTGTACAACTTGACAGTATCCTGCCCACGCAATACAATGAATTTCTCTTGATGCTCTGGTGACCGCAGAGGATAATCAACGGTCTCCTATCTGCTGCATCGACCAGGGTGGATAGGGGTTTGGATGCTACTGCTCAAGCCCTTCCATCTTCTTATTCCCCCTCCTACGCTTTTTCTCTCTTACCGTCCCGTGCCAGCTTCACTTTTATCCCCCCTGTTTTTAACCACCCAATTATTGGCCCTCCCCCACCTTGCTTTGCTAGACTTTTACCTTCTAGTTTCAACTCACATGTGAACGCGGAGCGTCATTTCTGTCCTGTCGACAAGCCCATGTCCAACCAAGCGGCCAAACCCAGTTCATCGACTTCCATTTGGAGCCCTCGATCATCCTTCAGATTGGCATGCCTCAATGTGCGCACATTGCTACAGATCGGTCAATAGGCAGCACTTGCTCGAACATCAGAGACCGTCTCGATCGACATCTGCTGCTTATCGGAGACCCGGCTGCAAGACTCGAGCTCTGTGCTCACTTTGCGATCCCCTTCAGGTGACATCAGCAGCACTTTCTCATTGCGCCTATCCGGTGACGATGCAGCTTCGAGCACCGGCCAAGCCGGTGTTGGTATCGCCCTGAGTCCCCGGGCTGAACCTACTCTGGTTGACTGGATTCCAATCAGTAGTCGGATGTGTGCGGTGCGATTAGCTGGCTCGTTCGAAGCTTCGAAGTCGCGCGGGACTAACAGATGTCTATTTGACATCGCTGCCTATGCACTCACAAACTCTACCGATGATTCGGTAAAAGACGACTTCTATCTCAGTTGAACGAGCTCCTTCGCCACAGAAGAAGCTCGGACACAGTTGTGCTGGCTGGGGATCTGATCGCTCAAGTTGGAAAATTATTCACCGATGGTGTACTCTCCCGTAATGATAACGGTGAGTGGTTACTTCATTTGTGTGAAGATGCTCGCTTATTTCTTGCGAGCACTAATTTCCGACACAGCACCCGCCGGAGGGTGACTTGGCGTCCACCAGCCTCGAACCAGCTATGGACGCAAATCGATCACATTGCGATAAGTTACGGATGGAGAGGCTGCGTTCAGAACTGTCGCTCTATTTGGAGCACAGGTGTGGACACCGTCCATGCACTTGTATGTGCTGATCTGTGGATGCGTTTTGGCGGACGCCCAAGGCGACGTTGTGAGCGCATTGATACCAGCCAACTGGCGAAACCCGCTGTTCTGAATGCCTATCAAAGTACGCTATCATGCGAGCTGGATAAACCCTCACTGGATGCAGTTGAAGCTCAATGGCCGCGGATTTTTGGATCAACGTGTGCTGGATACTACTTTTACCTCAGATTACTGTGTTTGCAGCGTTTTATCTGTGTGAATTGTGCACCATTATTCTTCTTTTGGCGTATTTTCCAAGCGGTGCAAATTTGGGAGCTATTCTTTGGCTAATTCCGGAGATCTCACTGATTTGCCATACTACCATCTCTGTCCGCCATCTTAGATTTGCTCTAGCTTGTGATGCCGTCTCAAGCTACTTGTGGTTCGTGTTCGAAAGTTGTGGGAAATAAGGCTCATGCACTTCGATGCTACAGCTG